TTTTTTTTTACAGACATAAACTTATTTGATTGTCCATTCTAGACACCACATATGATTTTCATCCTGAATGTTTCCACGATATCGGTAGCTTTAATGCTGAGAGAAATACAATTAAATTCAATATTTCACATCTAAGATATAGACATTAAAAGAACATCATATATAATGCCATCCGAATTTAGTCCGAATTCAGATCGTCTCCTTTCTGTTCTCATCAGCTAGAAAATGACAAACACATGAAGATATTTCTTTACTAGAAAAAGGAATTAAAACACACATACACATAGCAATCATGAAATTTTCTACAGATCAATTAATCCAACAATAAAATAATTAACACATATCATTGTGAATCAGACAACACATAAACCAGAGTGCAACTACCCAAAAACAATTCACCATCAGTAAATCCAAAATTGAATCAATGCAACAAGCTTCTAATCACTAAAATCACCTCATCAACCCTATGCAGATATTGAAAATACAAAAAAATAAATTAAATGAAAAACGAAGAGGCTTAAGGAGGAGAAAACCTTTTGAAGCTCGTCCTGAGCTTCCTTAACCTTCTCAATGGCGAGAGCCACGTCATCGGGTCCAATCTCTCCGGCGTCTCCCCCCGCCTCCGCCGCTGCAGTCCTCGATCTCTTGGCTCGGCGGTCGGACTCCATTTTTTCTCCTCGCCGTCTCAAAACCTAGTCTAGCCCGCGGCGCACGAAACCCTAGGTCGCGGTCCGGAAAACTGCGGCGCTCCACGGACATGGGTACTGCGTATAAATAGCGAGGGCGGTGCTTGGGATTATGCGAATGAGATTTTGTGTGCGAAAAAGGCAGAGAGAAAAAGGAAACGGAGCGTCTCTGTGTTGAAGGCAAGTGTACAGTGCTGAGTCTGCACACAGTGTCAAAAGAGCTCCTTTTATATGTTGTGTTGATTTTTTTTTTTTTATTTTTATATTTCCCTTCCCTGCGTGGGGCCCATTAGAGACACCGTGGAATTCTTGATATGTTGCTTAGGACTGGACAAAAAATTCGAACCGAACCGCTGAATCGTAGATTCGAATCAAAATCGAACCGAATTTTCGGTTAACCGGGGTACTCGGTTCGGTTACAAATACCTCAAAGGAAGTATTTGTTCGGTCCGGTTCGGTTACGGTTTTTAAGATTTTTTTACCCCGGTTAACCGAGCCGAATCGTATATTATATTGAAATTTATAAATATATATTATATTTTATATTATATATTATATTTATATATATTAAACTAACCTGTTGGTATGACTATTCGCGAATTAACCGAACCGAACCGAACCGAGCAAACCTAATCGGTTGTGTTAGGTTTGGTTCGGTTCGGTTAATTCGCAAATAGTAGGATTTTTTTCGGTTAACCGAGATTTTTGGTTCGGTTTCGGTTAGCAAGTTCGAATATTTGCTCGGTTCAGTTCGGTTAGCAAATACCTCAAAAAACTCGAGTATCTGAACCGTGCCCAGCCTTAATGTCGCTTGTGTACAATCATAGTAACTCTGTCAATATTTGACAAAAAATAATAGGAGTTTTTTCAATACAATGCCTGAAAGATAGGTAAACTATCAATTCGGGGCCTGAAAGATTTTTTTCTCAATTCGAGACCTAAAATATTATAAAACTATCAAATTAAGTTCTACAATTAACAACACTCATAAAACCATTAAATTGAAAGTTAATTTTAAGTTTTAAAACACTAAATTTGATGAAAAATAAAAGATTGTTGCTTACTCGCATAAAATAATAAGTAAACATTTGCATAATATTAAAAAAAAAAAAAAACATATTTGGTGTTTCAAAACTTAAAATTAACTCTCAATTTAATGGTTTTATGAGTGTTGTTAATTGTAGGACTTAATTTGATAGTTTTATAACATTCAGGTCCCGAATTGAGAAAAAAAATCTTCCAGACCCCGAATTGATAGTTTACCTATCTTTCGGGTCTTATATTGAAAAAACTCCAAAATAATATAGAGATGTACAAAACACTCACATAGGGTAGGGTGCACTTAATTTTTTATTTTTGGTGGGTCTCACTCAGTGTGAGTGTTATGTACACTTCTATGTACAATATTATGTACTTATAGCATTACTCAACATAATAATACCAAGAACAATAATAACAATAAAATAATAATAATAATAATAATAATAATAATAATAATAATAATAATAATAATAATAATGTATATAAAAGTTTTAGCAAAAGAATTAAATAAAACATTTTGATTTCCCTACATTTTCGGTTACAAAAGTATATTATTAATTTTTTACCTTTCACATAAATACACCCTATTAAGTGTAATCATATATTTTTTGCTTATAATAGTTAGTTATCAATTAATAACAATTCACACTAAATGCAAATAGCATAAGTATTGATAATTCTATGGCAAAGTTTTTTATTCAAACTATTTATTCAAAAATCAATATTTGCTTCTTTTTTTTTTTGGGTATCTCATGTAACAATTTTTTTAAAAAAAACAATAGCTAAGTAGTTTTAATGCGAAGTCAAACCACTTTAAAATCTTATAAATAACTGTTGCAGCAACAACAACAACAACAACAACAACAACAACAACAACAACGACAACAACAACAACAACAACAACAACAACAACAACAACAACAACAACAACAACAACAACAACAACAACAATAATAATAATAATAATAATAATAATAATAATAATAATAATAATAATAATAATAATAATAATAATAATAATAGTTTTCAATTACATCATTTGACCATGATCCCTCTAAATTATAAAAATTACATTACCCGCAATTTTTATAATTAATATAGTGATTCATATATACTTAAATAATTTATATTTATATTATTTTCTTTTTACTAATGACTAAATTTTGAAAATGCGATATGCTCATAATCTAGAATTTTAATATCAAAATTCACACATTTTACTTATAATATTGCGATGCAGAAGACTGGGGCCTGCAAAGTGGTGGTGGAGGTCAATAAGCAGAGCATTATTGCGATGGTCCGTGGAGATGATGGATGCGGTATCCATAAGGGGATTCTACAAGGCATACGAGAGCTGCTACGTCGGCAATGACATGTTGTTTTCTCAAAAATTTTGTGGAGTCATCAGATAGTTTTCTTATCAAGTCATCTATCATTTAATATATTGACATATAGTTCGAAGTGTATTTATTATAAGACACATGTCAATACACTATGTGAATAAGTATGGATGGCTCCTATCGGCTCCATAGCAAAACTGGTTGTTTTGCAGCACCATTATCGTGAAACAAATTTTGTTGCTGATTTTTTGGCACCCTTGCGGCACAGGGACCTGGTGGAGTTCAGCATTTGGACGATCCTCCCTCGGGTGCGAAGACTTGGCTTGATGATATGTGGTAGGGGTGTTGTATCTCAGACACGCGTTGGTCTCGTCTTAATTAAGTTTTGCCACTTTTTCTTGTACTAAAAAAAATAAAAAAAATAAATGCTATTATTATCCAGAGAATATAGATTATATTTATGCAGTTTTTGGTAGATATAATGTCGATATATTTATAATATATTGAATATATTATTGGAGAAAAATCTATTTATTTTTTTGAATGGTGATAAGGTTCGGTGCACGTTACTCCGGTCTTCGATAATCTCCAATCCAAAGGTAAAGCCTTCTACGCCGGTTTGTTGAATATAGTACCTGCAAAAGGGCGCCAGAGTTTCTCTGGCGCAAAACCCTCCAACGCTGAAGTTTGAATTTGGGAGGAAGATGATGAATAGTGATGTTGTAGTTGTTCAGTATTAAATGTGACTTACCTGTCGCAGTTAATGTTCTCGCTATATATAGATGTTTATATGTCGTACGGATGTTCTTCAACTTAGGGTTGGGCATTGAGTTGAACCTGTCGTCCGCAGATCTAAAGCTGGCTCGACATAGGGTTGATCTCGGTGTGGTCGGTCTGGCTTGCTATGGGTTCGATTCTAATAATACAAGCCTCGATATGTGAGACACTTTGCTAAAGTTAGTCAAGAAAGTCATGGTCTCCATGCACACGTGGAAAAGCAGCATATGAGGCATATGGAGCCACACCAACCTTTAGCACTAAATCCAAGAGTAATAGATGAAGCCACTTGTCATCATCCTAGCGAAGGGAAATGAAGAATATGCTTTTAGAGATTCTTTCTTTTAGTTGCCCTAGAATATCGACATCATTGGTATATGTTATAACATGACAGATCTAAACTTTGAGTTTCATTGATGAAGAAGAACATATTTTTAATGCAGCTATGATTATTTCAATTGGCATTCTATCTTGTTTTTTTCTAACTCACATGTATGATCCTCGATGTGTGAGGCTCGATGTGTGATGTTCGAACAATTCGATATGTGAGGATCTAGATACACTATATTCCATATCAAATGGTGTTAATGCTTAGTAAATGATGTTACCATATTTCAAGACTTTTTTCATATCAAACAAGAAGAAATCATATGATATTATTTAATAACATATATCAATTAAATGGGAAATAAAAAAGAAAATAAAGTAGGAATGAATGTTGACACTAAAATTAAGTGAGCGTATCTTTGCAAGTCACGTTTCATTGAAAATGGAAAGTTTCACTTGGAAAAAAACTAGAAAAGGAAAAGGAATAAGGCCAATCATGATAAAGGGTTGTTGGAAAAATACAAATATAGTATGTTTGACTTAAAAAATAATGTTTTGATTTACTACTTTAAGTAATAAAAATAGGCCCCACACGTTAACATAAAAATAATTAAGAACATAAATCACGTAAATCTTTCCTTCCATCCATGAAATTCGAATTTTATTAACCAATGCTATCGGATTTTGTGGGATTTTATTTGTTCACAAATTTCATAATTACTATAAAATCTTGATGATAATTGATCGAAATTGTCTTACCAAATTTATTGGATTTTGTTAAATCTTTTAGCTAAAAATTTGGTAATGAGTTTGAATTTTAACATTTTTTTTTTTTTTTACGAAAAAAATTGTATATGGTATGATATCTTCGAGCATTTTTTTTTTTTTTTTTTTACAATCTGCACAATATATTCCGATTTTTTGGGTTGTATATTGATAACAAGTTGAAAATCTATCGCCGAAAATATTGTAAAGGATTTTAACGCATTTATAAAGAGATTGAGTTTGTTACACAAACAATTAAGATATCTACAAAGTTTGGTTATTGAGATTTTAGTGCATCTATATCTTTTCGGATTTATTTATATTTATAATACTTAAAAAGTGTAAATTTATTTTTATTTTTTAAGAAAAAAGATCTTTTACAAATGAATAAAATATTTTATATCTATTATCCATAAAATGAATAAATAAATATATGTCGGTATCCAACCTTTAACATTTGCATGTGTATATTTCTTATGGTATACTACCACACTATCTCAGTGTACCAAGTCTTTTAAATGTCGTCAGTTGTTATCGAAAACTCATCATTCACCTTCTTATACGTGTTTTTTTTTTTTTACCTTCTTATACGTCTTGCATACATATTTCTACAAATTAATGTTGTTACTTTGTCTTTTTCAGATTATTTAGAGTACTGCATGAGTCTTGCTAAATGATTTTTGAAGTGCAACAACAACAACATAAAGAGATGGAGAATGATGAACAATGCAA